TAGGCTACATTTTGTCTGCGATATCATCTCGGTGGAAGCGGACATTAAATGAAGTGATTTCACACCATTAATTTAACATTTAACAACGTGCTGAAATGATTTTGGAGCAGTGATATGTTTGACAAATGTAAGCTAATGGTCACATAGAATACAAGACCGCAGGTTTGTGAATATTTATATAAAAAAAATAATACCATGTATGTAATTTAGCATCGATATTTTTTCTCTGTATAATATTAGAATTTCGTTTCCTTAAAAAAAACTCCAACAATTTAAACCGGAAGTTCATGTTTATAATATGGCGCGGTCAGGAAAAAAATTTCGGCATGTTATTATCAAATCTGTTCAATTTTTCTGAAATCATGCTTAATTAACATTATACAGGTCACAATTCTATGGAATACAATTACTGCTTTTTACTGAGCGACGTTTCGACTAGGCTTCTCTAGTCATTATCAAGCTATGATAAAAAATGAAAAAATGAAAAAATTAACATTAGTTGTTCGGCGCTACGATGTTGTTCAAATACTTACATTACAGAATCACATTATGATTAAAGCAGAAACGGTTCGACTTGAACCAGCAGGTAAGAATCTGTTTTGAAATTATATCTTGGGAGGTTGGATTGGCGTTGGAGACCCGATTGGCGGCCATTTTGATTCTTGTTTCATGATTTTTTTTATATTATAACGATTTTGCCCAGAGTAGACATAAACGCGGGCACAGACTAGAAAAAAATCTTTTTACACTTTTGTGTTAGTTGAATTGTAATCTAATTTATGTTTAAAAAAACAACCTTAAATCTAATAAGCAGACGGAAGATATGGACGAACAACAAGAAGAAGTTATGGAGGTCCCAACAACTGAACCTATGGAAGTAGAAGAATCGTTTACAGCCGAAACCCGATACGATGTGCCAGTTCCGGTTATGGAGTCCTCCATCTCAGACGATGCCGACGTTAGTGTCTTCTGCGACGAAGAACCCGTAGTGGTGTATCACTATAAACCTCAGAATGCCTCGTTCGGCATTTCTGTCCAAACGAGGCAAAAACGTGTCAAAATTTTTGCCCCGATTTTGCCTCGTTGTAACGAGGTAAAAAAAATACCTCGTTTCTCTGGAGTTCCAAAATGTGTTTTTTTTAAATTGCCCTGTTTTTGGAACGAGGTATTTTGTTCAGAACGAGGCTGGGTAAAATTGCCTCGTTTACTAAACGAGGTATTTTATCCAAGATAATTATTAGCGGTATTTGCTGTCAACAAATAGAGCCATACAAATAATGTTCGGACCATCATGTGACCAATTGCAGATCTACAAATTAGATTATTTATTTGGGACATGATATTGTTTATAGTTATGGCTTACTACACTGGAGTTCTATTATGTATAATAAACGCTTCCCGAGCGAAACAAAACATAACAATGTCACGTGACAATATTACATATGGCGGATACAAGCGTTCTTTGATTACATGCTGTTTGGTTTGATTATTAAATAATACGGCAATCTGTATATATGGGAAAAGGAGAATGAATTTCCCCAAATCCAAAACTAGATGACTGGAATATTTATTGAATGGAAAGTAAATATTTTATAAACAAAAATATTCGGATTTGCAGTATCCTAGCTTGGATGGATTTGTGATTTGAATCTCGAACTCAGTGTTTTATACATTTTATTATAAAATTGTTATAAATGTTTTACATGAATGAATAAAATCTACAATTTAAAACAGTACAATAACATTGTGATTTGACGCTCTACAAATCACTAAGAGTATAACAATTGCTTGTCGAAAAAGCGTTAATAATATGTATTTTTTCATTTATTATTTTTTAAAAATATATTCAAAAAGAATGCGTCTTTTACAGATTTCAATATAACCACAAATGGTTGATTGTTTTAATGCTAAGATAAGTATTAATGGTTTGTATTTGAAAATCAAATTATATAAGCGAAAAATAGTAAGATACATTATGTATATCTTAAAACACGCCCTTCTCAGTTACTACTTCGGCGAATATCGTTTGATAATTTAGATGATCAGAATTAAACACCGTTTTGCTATGTTATTATTTTTTTTATGATTGGGTGGGGGTATACTTAATTAGGGGATTGGATTGAAAGATTATAGCTACCATCTTATGGAGACATAATGTGTGGTGCATTTACGGTCTTATAAAGCTCTATTCTTACATAAAGAATTCTTGATTCGCACGGAAGTGTTTTAGCCGTGATCATTTTAAGTCATAATTTAACTAGATATCAGAAAAGTACCACGTTTTCATAAATGTACTCTTTAGATAAATTGTACAATATTTATCAGTTCACTAGTTACAATAAAATCATGCATTATAGCTATTTTTATTTATTTATCCCTGGTGCTTCAAATTCAATTTAGGGTGCCTCAACATATTTAAAAATATGTTTTAAAGCTTTAGGCCATTTTATTATATCTTTCTACCATAAATAATAGCCCGAATTTAGGTATACCAAAAGTTAAAGAAATATAAACAGTTTTTGAGTCATTCAGATATGACTGCCAAAATTGTCACCAACACACATGTCGTGTTTAGGCTACAATCTAACCAGAAAAGTATTGTCAATACATAATAAAATATATATTGCATTAATCAATTCCATTCCGCAATTGGTTTGTCTTAAACTCGTCATTTGTGTTCATGGGCATCAGGGTCGAGATGGCAACGTTATATGTTTTATTCGTCTAATTTACTATAAAACATCATTCGGTTTGCCTCACGGGTTAACGGCATATTAATAGCTTTATTCACTGAGATGGTTCCTTTACTTATAGTTTATTTTTCGAATTGCTTTTTGTATTTATTTAAATGGAAATATTAACAACATTCTATAAGTCAATCCACGAACATACCCAATTTCAATATTTGCGTGTTGACCTTTAACATCACACTTAGATCCTGTACGCTTTGTGTCTTACAGTCAATACATGTCACGAAGAACTCTTTAGACATAATTTCGTTTATAATATAGGACGATTCAATGTTATTAAAATGACACAATGACAATTTTAATTTTATTACCAACCCTTTCACAATATTTGAATGAAATATCTCACACAGGGTGTTAATCTGTTTTCAGTTTCTATTCCAATTCAATAAAACATTTAATACATGTCTTGGCTTGATTCATTATTTACAATTTAATAGGTTAATCGTGTATTTTAAATAATACAGTTCAAGAGATCAAAACATTTCCGAATTTATACATTCAACATTACACGTAGACCTAAATGTATTTTTCAAATACGTGTATAAACATTTATATGAAATATATTATAAACAGATATGCTATGACCAGAGTTGCCATTATCTTTATTATTCGACTGGAAAACTCCTGTCATTCACTCTGTCGTTCGACTGATCCATCATTCACGTTGTCATTTCCGAGTCTGAAATTTGGGGTATAGGGGTAGCTCGGACCGGGGAGTAACATAGGCCAGGTGGCGTTAGTCTACCACTTCCGGTTTCGGAGTTATGACCCCCGAGCGAAGCCGGGCATTCTTCTAGTATATAAATAAATATATAAATAAATCATCTTCATGGTCATCGTCATCATCACCGTCATCATCACTATTTAACACCAATCATCGTCGCCTGACAATTACCTTATCTATTCAAAGCGCTTGTTTAGTTTTAAATACTTGTGAACTTTACTAAAACTCACTTTGTTGAACGGGTTACTTTCGTTGGTATCGCCATATAGGAACGCTTTTGTATTTATGGATTTAAATGGGAGGGTATTTAATGTTGAGATACGCTGAGACGAATAATTTGGGCAGTGCAGAAAATAATGGTCGCTATCTTCTTGAGTATGACCACAACTGCATGTCGGGTTATGTGAAATATGCATTAAAAATCTATGGAAGTTTAGAGCACTTTTACAATTACGAAGTCTGGAATGTATAATCTGAAATTTACGTTCTCCATAGTAACATCTTACTGACATCAATAAATACAAAAATATGACCAAGTCGAAAGTCAACAAGACGGTATACAAGCCAAAATGCAAGTCGAAAATAAGAAATTAGGAAAAAAAACGAGGGGCGCTATTATCGCAGTGTATTATTTCTTGATTTCCTTTTTTCGAGTCGATTTTGGCTTGTATAGCGTTGCTGTCGCCTCACATTTTGTCGTAACTGCTACTTTTCGACTTTCGTGTTTTGGAGGGCGAAAAGTAGAAATTAAGAATGGTAGGCTTCTATAGTTAGGCGTTTGTATATATGACTGTATACTTGACACATGTACGACCTGAATGGCTGAATGGACGGTAACCAAATATGTTATTGTGAGTGTTAAACGACATCGTAATTATTTTATATTTTGCAAAAAAAACAAAAAACAAAACAAAAAAACACAAGCCGTGATTGCCATTACTACAATACGGATTACTAAATATACTTTGTGTTCAATTTTATATTTTAATACTGAAGACAGGGCCGGACTATAAATGAACAAGGCGGATCCTTTTGGCTTATATTGAGTAATTATTGCAACGTGTTACAGTTGAAAGTTCCAAAGCATTTTCACATTCCATGTCCGATAAATTTAATCATCATGCAACTACTGATTGGTGGGTCGTCGAAACATTTAGATGCATACATCACAGCACCGTGGTTTAGACAACTTGCAATTGAACTAGTTTTATTGTTGTACACATAATGAAAGAAACTGTGTTATTTCACAGCTGAATTCTATGGTAAGAACCGTAGAACCACCTTGTAGGGAATAACTTTTAAACTTTAACACCCTATACACACTCTCTTAACATTAATCCAAACTTTAAATCTTTCAACGGTTTAACAAGAAGGTGCTAAATATTTCCATTTAAATAAATACAAAAAGCAATTCGAAAAATAAACTATAAGTAAAGGAACCATCTCAGTGAATAAAGCTATTAATATGCCGTTAACCCGTGAGGCAAACCGAATGATATTTTATAGTAAATTAGACGAATAAAACATATAACGTTGCCATCTCGACCCTGATGCCCATGAACACAAATGACGAGTTTAAGACAAACCAATGGCGGAATGGAATTGATTAATGGAATAAAATATTTATTATGTATGGACACTAAGTTTTATGGTTAGACTTTAGCCTAAAAAAACATGCGCGCTGATTACAATTTTGGCAGTCATATCTGAATGGCTCAAAAACTGGTTATATTTCTTTAACTTTTGGTATACTTAAATTCGGGCTATTATTTAATATATATATTGATCAACAGCGGCGATAAAAATCATTAGTCTCGACAATGACTAGTTGTCAGTGAAAGTCTCTCAGGGGAGCCAGGCGGCTCTGTGAATAAAGAGCTGGCTTGAACGCCTCGTGTTCATTAGCCTGAATAGTGAAGGAATGCGGGTCATTAAACCCCAATTTCATTTCATAAATCACTCGGCTCAATAATGAGCTACTCGGGTTGGTTAGATCCACGCCTTAATGCATATACAACCAATAGAGAAATAGGTCAAATATGGCGACAATGATCAACTTGCTCTTCTTCTACTAAATTAAAGATTCGTGTGGAGATTCTGTCGATATAATCATATATTTATATCTGCTCTTTCTTAAAATGGAGACGGTTAGTAAAATGGTCTTCTTTACGTTCCTAAATATCAGTATGACCTTAGTGAATACCGCACGATTACGATCCGTTCCAGACTGATAACTTTACGTTCCTAAATATCAGTCTGACCGTAGTGAATAGGCCTACCGTACGATTACGATCCGTTCCATACTGATACCTTAATTATAGGCTAATTATAGAGCCTTCAATTTCAAACACATTTTTATTATCATATGCTCTTATTTTTTTTTCATCATTATATGATTAACATTTCCTAAACTTTACGATTTTCAACTTTTTTTTTAAATAATAGTCCATCTCTGAGACAACAAAAACGTAAATAAATGGAAGATAAAAGCAAGAAAGACAACCCTAATAAAGGAGTCAGGACTAAGACTAGTAATTATTTCCCCTTATTTCATGATTGTCGAATGTAGTGCGAGTTATAAATAGACAATTTTTCCCTTAATTTTTTTCTCCCCTCTTCCTGCATTTTTGGGTTGACTTTTTGGTCTAGAATTGGAGAAAAGGGATCAAATTTGCAATTTCATAGCAGTTTTGGGTAATACTGATGATATTACAGCGGAGGGATAGGGGGTGTAAAGTGTCTTTCTGCAGAGCAATCATTGTGTTGGAAGTGAGATTTTCACCCCTGTCAACTTCAAATCCGTGTAGCAAAAAATCTAAACGGTCAACCCCCTACAAAATTATGATGAGGAGATTGCCAAATGTTGTCCCCATTGTGCCTATAAAGATTGGAACCAACGGAATGTTGAGCAAAAAGCTACAGCCTGTGATGTTACAGTCATTTAACATTGAAGTCAATGGGCAAATAATTGCTAGTCTGACTCCTGATGATATAAAGAAGCATGGCCGACTCGGGATGTTGATATTTTTTCAACGGCTTATTTCCTGAAGTTTTGAATGGAAAGTGTCAGAAATGGTAAGAATACTGCTTTTTTATTGCCCAGCAGTAAGTTTTTTGACTATTTGGTATCAAAATAGCCATGATTGGGGGTATCCGTTGGTTGAGTGTGAATTTTGGGTTGTAAATGTGTAACATTTTGTTCACAATGATATCAAAACATGGTTAGGTCTAAATATTAAGGCCAACTCAACTCCAGATTTGGTCTAAAGTCACGAGATGTAAACAGGACTGACCCTAACCCTAACCCAAGACCCAGTCCTTACCCTAACCCTAACCCACAATCTTGTCAAAAAGCATGTGGCCTAAGCCAAGACCTAGTTCTGACCCTAGCCCAAACCCACAATTGTGTCAAAAAATCATGTGCCCTAACCCTATTTACATGTTGTGACCTTGAACCAAGTCTGCAGTTGGCCTTAACATTTAGACCTAACATGTTTTTGACATCATACAATGAAATGTTAACATGTACACTCCAAAATTCACACCTGTGTGACTTTTGACCAAACATGCAGTTGGCCTTAATATTTAGACCGAACCTCAAAACATGGCATCTACCTTTGAGATTGGCTTAGACTTATGTGACACTCAAGGTTTACTTTTTTACTGATTGTTAACTGGTTTCTTTTTGGAGGGCCAGTGACGGGCTGTTCCCGAGAAATAAAGAGGTTTATTTCTATTTCCAGTTGAAACCATATTTTTTTCTTATTTTCTCACTGTTTTTTATTGCATATTTATCCCCAGCCTCCTATCATTTCAGGTGCCAGGGCAATGTTTCATAGAGTGGAATGATTGACCTCAACACAAGTATTAAAAAAAAAGAAGCAAAACAGGTGAGATAAATGTGCATTTCATACACTTTAAGAAGTACATCCAACCTCATCCCCACTTCTGCTGATGAATAGTAATGGGCTGGAAATTTGGTACTGCACAGGCCTGTCGTCTCCCCTTGACATTTAACTGAATGACAGAATTCCACATTTTGACCATTTTCTGGATGTCAATGACCATTTCCCTGGATAGTATTCGCCCCAGAATTCTCATTCTCATCCAAATTTAACATTTCAGGTCTACATCTCAAAACCTGATCTCTTCCTGAACTGGCTTTAGGAGAACGATGATGCATATCAATTTCATCCCTGATCTCTATGACACCTGTGGTGGAAGTGGAGGGCAAATCGTAATCAGTTTGGGTTCCAGCCCCGAGGACCTCTGTAAACTTTGCTTTTTGGTGATGACTTAATTTCCGAGCTTGAAAAGGACGCTTGTGTGTTTATCATGCCTTCTCATATTGGAAGATAACATTAATGGCTTGTGTGTTGATCGACGGTTGTGCATATCTCTTGGTCAGGAAAGTTGTAGGCACAATCGCCATTGTAAATCATTTGACAGGCCCGAATGAACGGGGCGACCTATGATTGGTCAGCAATGTATCAGATTCCAAACTGGGGGGGAAGGGATGAAAAAGCTGTTGTAGTGTTACATAATCAGATTATTTCAACTTACTTATCCTATGGAAATACAGCTATATAGGAGATATTTTAAAATTGATAGGCACTGCATGTTTCAACATTTTAGATTTGACCACAATTTGGCACTTGAAACTACGTTAACAGAGAAAAACTGTGTGGTTTTCGATGAAAGTGTTAAAAAGTCTAATATTGCATCATGATTACTGTTTTAAAGTATTTTCGTGTTTGATTTATATTGAATTGTATTTAGAAAACGGAGGAAACCGAATGACCCAGCGAAAAAACTCAAGAGATTGGACAGGCGACTCTACTCCTTGAAATTGAAACCATGCCACTTAACACAATGACAGACCCTGTGATTTCATGCGCATGCATTACCTACTAGACCATTCCCCCCAGCCCCACCCCATATCGAATAAAAGTATGACTTATTTCAAATATGATATTTACATATAAAGAAAGTAGAGAGACTTCAATCTTACTAGAAAAATACTAGATTACCTGAAATGAAATGGGGTTTAAAGACAACGTCCTACTGGTCAGCTCCGACTGGTCTAATGCATTGTGCTAAGTGAAAATGTTTGTCTGGGCAGCGACACTATGGCCTACTCTCATACCGAATTCAAACTGCCAAGAGAACTTTTATGTGTACGCCAATGTGTACATTGGATCTCAGGGGAAACCACTCTGCAAAATCAAGATGAGCTTTCTTGGTCAACCCCAAGAGATAACCTGTGGCCTCCATGCTAGTGTGCCAGCACCTAATTTACTCAGTCACCATGGCCGTCTTCTAATTACTGCGACAGTGAAACCATGTGACAAACAAGGATTATTAAGATAGACTTTTACGGCTAGGTAGTTCCTTGGGATTAAAACTTTTGATACATATAGATACATTAGATCAATTTCATATCACACAGTTTGTATATATGGTAAGGTAGCTTTAATCGTAAATTACATATCATGTATTTATTTTTTCAGTTTCAATATTGGATGTATATGCAAATCCCCCAGAAAAAGATCATGTAATAACAAAAGAAATTATAAAAGAAAAAAAGTAAGAAGAAAAGAAGTAAGAAGAAATGGCTGGAAAAAATGATGATAGAGCAGCTTTTTCTTGGTGGGTAACTATTCAATTCTAATAGAAAAGATTGTTATGCTATTTTGAAATCTAAAATTCAGTTTAGTATAGTAAAACTGTACACGTCATGTATGAGCAGAGACAGAATCTTAGTTATATGTAGATATCACTGTCTCATCTGTGGCAAAGCAAACCAACACATGAAACAAAACAAATGTAATTAAAGTAACATTTTTTTAATTAATCAAAACTGTCTAGTCAATTTAAGCCAACTAATACATTGCCATTTTTTTTTCAGTTACCCACCTCGGAAGATCAAGTTGGAAAGGGCTATTGATATTGTGGAGACGTTTTCTCACAGATCTTGCTTATCAGACAAAGACTATGTAAGTACCATGCATATTTGCTTTTTAAATCAGGAACTGGTTCTATACACTTGGTGGGGGGGGGGGGGTTGGATGGACGTAAAACCCCATTTCTCTCTCTCTCTCCTAAATATTGAGATTTTTGTTTACTTTTAAACTGCATATATTCAAGGTATCAGGAGCTTTTTATGGCTCCCGTACAATTTTATAAACATGAAGGACTGTACCTTTTGAATATTAAGCCATCAAATTATTTTATAATTTTGAAAATGAAATGAAATGGGGTTTAACATCCTAATGTTTTGCTCATAAATTGGGCTAATGAAGACGGGCATACGCCATACAGTGTGCTATGAAGGGAATTTTGCCCGGGCAGCGGCGCTACAGCCTACTCTTATATCGAATTCCAATTGCCAAGGAATCTTTTATGTGCACGCCAATGTGTACACGGGACCTCGGTTTTTCGTCCCATCCGAATGACTAGACAGCTGTCCTTGTCAGGTCCTCCGTCCTGTATCACTGACAAGGGGAAAACACGCAAAATGTAAGTAACATATATATTTGTATTTTTAATCAGGAAGTACTTCTATACACTTGCTTGGTAATCTAGTTATTCTTCTTGGGGCAATGCCTAGGACTCTGCTGTTTCAAGTACTTGGCATGCTTGATTTTTGCCAATCACATCCATTGATTTCCTTCAAGTTGCGATAGGCCCTACATGTATGTGTATTTTTACAGTAAATAGCAGTAAAATAATGATGGACAGTATTTTACTTTCAAATAGATTTCAGTAGATTTTAAAGGGTAATATCCAATTTGTTGTCAATGGAAATAAAATAAGAATGGGTCCAAAAATAATTAGACATTACGCAGAGTTGAAACCAAATAGAGACTCGGTCTCGATGTGGCAAAAATAAATTGTTTATTTAAACGTTGTGAACCATAGAAAGTATTCTTATCTCCTACTTTTTATTTTTTAGGCTGGAACACCATTGAAAGAGTATTTGCTGTATGATAACAACAAGAAAACCCAAGCATCAATTTATTTTATACTTCTGGGAAAGAATGCATTTGACCCAATTTTTAAATATTTATTTTTTGTTATTAATGTTAAATTTTCTTCCAAAACACAATTAGATTTTAATTCTCTTCAGAAATGTATGTATAATATAGCAAGTAAAGTGGCATATAAATCACTTAGAATTTGGTCAGAAATCATAAAGTATTTAATAGGCATTACTAGAAACCAAATGTAGATCAAATACACCCAGAATTACAAAAAACCTTGACCTACATAAAGGTGACTTTCCCTTGCTTATGAAATGAAATACGGTTTAGTATCCTACTTTTCTGTGTTCTTAGAGTGATTCTGCCCTACACCCTACTCTTATATCAAATATTTCAACTGTCAAGGGTTCTTTAACGGGAACCCGGGGGGGGGGGAATGATTAACACGCACACATTTGATCGGGAAGTCTGTCATTGAGTCAAATAATTCAATTGTCAAGGCTTCTTCTAAGTGAACGCAGTGGGGATGGTTTCGATTCCGGGAATGGGGGAGGGGGTGGTGGATGGCCGAATGGTAAGCATGTGCGTGCGGTATCATACAGCCTGTCATTGAGTCAACTGGCGTGGTTTCGAATCCCCGGTTGTACGTGACAAGGAGTAGGGTCGCCTGTCCAATCTTGTGGGTTTTCTACGGGACCTACGGTTTCCTTCCACTGCTAAAGACCCCTATGCGCAACGAATTATTGAAATAAAATTAAACCATATGTTAATCCCGAAATGACCTAGTTTGTGTCAAGTGGACGTTAAACTCCATTTCTCTCTCTCTCTCTTTTGATTCCGGGCTTGTACCCAATTATCCCTTGCCATATCCAAGACTACTGACAAGTGGGAACTATGCCGGAAAATCTAGTTGAAATTTCTCGGCCAACACCTTATACTCACTGAACCACTGTGGCTTATGACTTGTGATTGTATATAAATTTTTTGTACATATGAAATTTTTTTATTTCAATCCTGTAATCTTGATGCTTTGCTTCTTTTATTTACAAAATATTCATTTTGTTTGGGTTTTTTTAATGAGGAAAAGGTTTTACATCATTTTATTTCTCCTGCAAAATAGTGCATTTTTCTTTTGTTAGTTTTCTGTGTATATTAGTTATTTCTATATGTCTCACAAATCACTTGTAGTGTGATTTTGTAGCACTTTTCAGTTTTTGAAATTGTTTCAATTTAGTGCATAATTAATCTTAGTGCTTGGTTTGGATGTTATTAAATTTAGATATTATTTGAATTATATATTTTGGAGTATGGGGTAGGGATACTGTGTACATATCTTTATATTCTCAGTTCTTGTTTTGGGGTAAAGAACAATTTATATAGCTATTTTATATTTTGTGATAGGTAAAGTGTGTGGGGTTAAGAACAATTTAAATAGCTATGTTATATTTTGTGATGGGTAAAGTGGGGTGTGTGTGTGTATGTGTGTGTGTGGGTCATTATATATAACACAATATAATTAGTATTAGAATTCTCTGTTTTATTGTTAACATTTCAAATATCTATTTAGTTTTGATGTATTAATTTACTTTTTCCAATGATTTTATGAATAAATAATAATCTTACAAAAACAAAAACAAATTTTGTTTCCTTCTTTTATCAAACTTTACAGGTCTAACAGAGCAAAGAGATGGGTCCTGCATAAAAAGGTTGCTATACTGTATATAAATTGGGGAAAAACACAACACAAGTTTTTGTGGATGGTTATACACAAGTTTGTATGAAACCACACAAGTTTCAGAAATTTCAACACAAGTTTCAGAAATTTTAACACAAGTTTCAGAAATTTCAACACAAGTTTCAAACATTTCAACACAAGTTTCAAAAATTTCAACACAAGTATTGTGTAGATTTTCACACAAGTTTCAACACAAGTTTGTGTTGTTTGATAAATTTTAACACAAGTTTTGTGTTGTTTTAACATTTAACACAAGTTTTGTGTTGTTTCAACACAAGTTTGTGTTGTTAAATAGAGACACCTTACTTGTGTTGAAAACAACACAAGTTTGTGTTGTTTCAACACAAGTTTTTTTTCAGTGTTGGATTGAGGAACTAGCTTAGGGATCTGACTTAGCCTATTAAAACCCCTCTTCCTGAATTTGAATGTTGGGGAAATAATTCCAATTTTAACTTGATTTTTATAATATTTGTAATTCTCTAAAACCTTATATTAATTATTACAAACGTTAAGTAGAGATCACCATGTTTCTTGTCACTGTGTGTATAGTGCGATACCTGTAATATCTCATTTAAAACAACGTATTTTATAACAGTATTATTGATTGGTTCATTAATCGAAATTGGACATTTATTGCTAACCTGTAAATAACAAATCGAAATAAATTACCTTAAAAAAAAGAATTAAAAGAAGGAATATTGATTGCAATATTTTGCTATCCCTATTGTACTACCAAAGTTAACTATATTCTTAAGTAACGTGGTAATTCCTTCCTGGATTAGTATCCATTAATAAGATAACCCGGTGGCATTGTTAAAACCAACTCAAAAAGTGATATTGTTGTGAAAAAATTATATTCAGAAAACAAGAATATCAGATTTTTGTATTTTTTAATACAATGTATTTATACCGCAAAATTTTCGAGGTATTTGAGGTAGGCTAATTCCATATTATATCATATCGTCATGTGCATAATTGTATTTTTATACGATTAATTATTCAAATAATCATTCTTAGGATGCACCTTCGACTCCAGTCAGTCCCGAATAGCAATGTTTGTTTTATGTTCTGTTACGCCATTTTGAACAAATAAACAGACATGACCTACATACATGTAGATAGTTGATAACAACTGATTGTGTTCCATTTTTCAGATTGCAGTAGATTTTAGCAATATAATCCAGCGATGCTGCAGTTTATTTGCTTTAAAATTATTTAATAATTCAAAGAATGTTTTAAAATCTCGCTTAAAGTAGTTTAAGATCAGTGCGGATAGTATTTATTTTTACCCAGCTTGTTTGACACGTGACTTGATTGGGGGGAGGGGGGATCCATTTTTAGCTGCCCATTTACAATAAAGTATCATAGTAAAGTACATTTTTAGATTATCCTCTGTCAGCTTCCTTTTCTGTCCTTTAATCTACCGAGAGTGTAGTCTCTCAATGTTCTCACAACCGTTAGCCACAAGATCAACATATAACACATGCTCTATACCTCACTCGATCAGACAGGCTGTCGATTAGGAATATCCTTATGGTATTGGCCCTTCATGAATTGGGTTCCCTTTTTAGTGCAAACCACGAGGCGCAGCCACTACTTCATTATAACTTTATTATTGTCTTATTATTCTCCCATGACTTTCTTTAAACCTTTTTAACCTCAAAGATACATAATGCAAGATACTATAATAGTTAAGCAGCGGTTGAAATGTAAGATACGCTAACATTTTGCAAGAGATGGACAGGGAACAAGTTAAAAAAAAAAAACGATTTTAATCCAGGAAGTTATTATCAAATACGCTCAAGTACCGACAGGACCCAAAATCGCATAAATATAAACACATGCTTTAAGTTTCATTGAAATCGGGTTAAAAAAGTATGACCTCTACAGAGTCCACAACCTATCTGTGTGCGGAGAGCTAAAGACATGTTTTTCATACAATCAGGGCTATAATCTAGGAAATTAGGATCTGATATGCGCGAATATCGAAAGGAACCAAGATTGTTAGGATATAAACAATATTAAGAGTTTCATCAAAATCATATAGTACAGTCACACTGTTAGAAATTTTTGTAAAATTACAGTAGTACAAGTAGTTTTTGTACCTTAATTATCGGTATGTTCACCACAATGTAGTAGTTTTACCAAGTCTGGCGTATTTTAACGGAGTTTTGTGTATGTTTACAGAGTTTCGTGTCTTTTTTTACAATAGACGGTGATGAAATCAAAGACACATTCAAAATCAGTAAAAATACATTCTTACATGTAATATTTCCAAACTGAACTCAAAATAAACAAGCATGCATGTAATTTTACAGATCTTACGTTTATTCACATTATTTTGTAAATTTACTTTTAGGTTAGAAATATAAATAAAATTACAGCAGTTCTCACTATAATAGTTAAAAACTAGATAATGTAAAGGCAATATGCTCAAAATTTCTGTCAAATTGATCCACTCGGAACCGAGATATTAGAGACTGAATGTTAGGCCTAGCCTCGATCATCATTACTTATTAAGTCAGTACGATAAAAAAAAACATAGTCTTGATTATCTATTTTTGAATTTAATCATTATCAGGCCTAAAGAAAGACCTGCAATAGGCAGATTTAGCTCTTGCATAATGTATGTTTAACTTATTGGTAGTTATCGTATTCGGTAAATTTATTGTCTCTTAGCAAGCAATTTTAGAGATTTTACGTTTACTCACATTATTTTGTAAACTTTCAGGTTAGAAATATAAGTAAATTTACAGCAATTAAATTTTTACCAAAAATGTTCGGAATGTTTACCAAAATGATGTATATTTACCAAGTTTCATTCTTTTTTACAATAAACTTTGATGAAACCAAAGGCACATTAAACCCTGGTAAAAATACATGCGTAATATTTCAATATTGAAATGAAAATAGCAAAGCCAGTAGGTAATTTTACAGATTTACGTTTATTCACATTATTTTGTAAATTTACTTATTGGTACATTTACTGTCTCTTATGTAAATTTACTGTCTCTTATTTTATTTTAGTATTCCATAGCAACGAACCATTCCAAATAATTATTTTCTTATAGTATTCATTCTAATTTATTAACCATAATATGGACAATCACATTTTGTGAAATTTGGTATATTGCATGTTATATATATTTAATTTTCTTTATTTATACGATCTAAAACGTGTATTATTATTCATCGTACGTTGATCAGATTGTAACTATGTTCATTAACGTATAAAAAAAATGTTTTGACTTTCTTGTCATAGATTGTATTATCTCGTAACCAAGGTCAATTGAAGACGGTTACTTAAACCGATTGGCCAGTGTTAGCTTGACTGTCTCTAGAGCAGAGTTACAATGCCTGCAGTAGACAGTACCACAAGCTTACATCTAAAATCCTGGAACGGAAGTTAAAATCATTGTGGGTTTTTTTAACATTTGTCTGTAATTTTTCATTTACTGCTTTTAGGTAAATTTACATTGGGAAGTTTAAAAACAAACTTACTGTAACCGTTCATTTACTGTGTTGCGGTGAATTTACAGTCCAAAGTTAAAAAACATTTACTGTTTTAAGGTAAATTTACTCACAAAGTCAAATTACAGAAACTCTGTAATATTACAGCTGAATGTTTATTTACAGTAAATTTACTGGCAACTTTTGCTGCCAGTAATTTTCATGTAAATTTACCAGATTTTTTCTAACAGTGCAGGAGTCATAATCCATGAAGTTACGGTCTGATACATGCCAATATCGAAAGGAACCATAATCTAGGAGGTTACTGTCCAATATGCGCGAATATCGAAACGACGAAAGGATCCAAGATCTTTGGGTTATAAACATACATTTCAAGTTTCATTCAAATCGGATAAAAACTGACCTCTAGAGTGTCCACAGGCTAAAGACGTGATATTTCGTACAATCGGGGACCATAATCCATGAAGTTACCTTTGGATTTTGAAAATTTCAGTCAAATCAGCTCAGTTAGGGCTGTATTGGGAATAGCAGTGTCTTGATTATCATTTCTACAGTTGTTACGATAGTAAACAAAGTCTCGATTATCCATTTTTCAATTAAATCATTAACTGTCAATCGTTTTTAAGTCCGTTGAAAATCAAGAGCATCCGATGACCTAGAGAGTTGATTATAGTCTTGTCATGTTAATATATGCCTAATTAACCTTTCCGTCCCGATGGAACTCGCTTGTACCATCATATAGTGAATACAATGTAGCAATGCATATGTGTATTAGGGTCAGTATTTCATTATAAGTCAGTTTATGTTGGTTTAAGGTCGGGTTGAAGTAGTGCAGTTTTAATGCAAAGAAATTTGTAGAGTGACATTTTGTGATGTTTTTGTAAGAAGATCTTTGTGCATGTTTGAAGACACCGAGAAAGTCCAAAGTAAGTAAAATGATTGTGATTATTTTTTTCATGAAACTTAATCCAAATCAAAACCCTTTCAAAATGAAATGAAATGAAATGAAATGGGGTTTAACGTCCTACTATTCTGCTCCTATACTGGGCTAATGAAGACGGGCATACGCCATACAGTGTGCTATGAAGGAAATTTTTCCCGGGCAGCGGCACTATCGCCTACTCTTATATCGAATTCCAACTGCCAAGGGATCTTTTACGTGCATTCCAATGTATACACGGGACCTCGGTTTTTCGTCTAGTCCGAAGGACTAGACAGCTGTCCTTGTCAGACCCTTCCTTCTGAAAACCCTTTCATAAAGTTTATCTAAAAATTGAGTAATATTTGCAATTACTGTCATTTTTTTCTGTGGGACATACTAGTCTCATCACCTATATGGGTCCTGGGACTAAAATACCAATGCGTTTTTTTTTTTCAAATCCAAATTTATGTGGCTTTTCCTTTGCGAAATGGTTGTTATTTCTGAATGTATCCTTTATATAGATGATACAGAGAAATTGTAATCTACAACTGGTCTGTGAAATGATATCTGTTTTCAGAAAATAGTGGTCTATGTCAGTTTTGTTCTAAGAATAACAACGAATCTCGGCCTCAGAATAAGCTATAGGATATTTCTGGAACTTTGACCTTTCCCTCAAGAAGTGGGTGGTGGCTTTTGATTAAATATATTTTCAAAACGTTTTACGAATTCGAAATCATCGATTTTTCGGGCGTTAACATTGACGTACATAGATTTAACTTTGTGACCTATTCTACTAATTATTTTTTCTTTGAGTACCCTAAAACATTTACTTCAAATCTCAGAGTAAATGTGTTACAATGTATTCTTATGCTGTAATAAATTTAAAAAAATGTTTCCTAGATTCCCATTGTGCGATTAGAAATAAACTATACGTTTGCATTTCAAGTTAAAATTGTTTACGCCTATTGTTGAATGAATTTAAGTATAGATTATTGTTTCAAACTATTGAGATAATATAGTCTTCTTTGTTTGAATTGTCTTTTTAGTGTTGCGGATTAAATTTATGATGAAAATACAGATTCCAAGAAAAATTTAAACTTTTTGTCGTATTAAAAATAGGGGGGCTGGATGGCTGAATGGTTAGCGTGCGCGCGCTGTATCATAAAGTCTGTCATTGAGTCGACTGGTTTCGAATCCCCGGTTGTACGTGACAAGTATAGGGTCGCCTGTCCAACCTCGTGGGTTTTCTCCGGGTCCTCCGGTTTCCTCCCACTGCTAAAGACCCCTATGCGCAAGCGAATTATTGAAATAAAATTAAACCATATGTTAGTCCCGAAATGACCTAGTTGTGTCGAGTGGACGTTAAACCCCATTGCTCTCTCTCTCTTGTATTAAAAATAAGTTACCCATTTTATCGTCTGTTAGGACATTCAAGTCCCACCCCTATCCCCTTCAGCAAAATTTGTAAAAATTTGTAGAAATAGTTTAGTGGATACCCTAACCAAACCCCAATCATCTACAAAATATCATAAAACAGGAAAATATTTTAAAACTTAACCACTTATGTGACATTTAAGGTCTAAGGAAAAACCTGTAATAGACTGATTTTGCTATTGAATAATGTATACTTAACACTACTATAGATATATAATGTATATATTAGTAAACTTACCTTGACTGCCTCCAGTAGCCATTACTTTCCTGAAAATACAAGTTTATATATATTTTCGGGTCTGAATGGTAAATGGTTGTTATCATACAACTGCATAAGGAACATTTTCTAGTAAATGAAATAAAGAATTAAGGCGGGGTGAGAGCGGTTGGAGTGAAAGCGATTGGAGTCAATAAATATTTTATCGTGTAATATACATTATATAACCTTTCTTATTATATTACAAAAAAATGTCATTTTATGATAAGAATTTTGTTGGTGTAGTTTAAAGATATATAGACCCTGGAAACGGGGAATTAAGTATTCTAGAAAGACTTTGAAAGCGAATCTACTATATGCAGTATATTTCCTTTTGTTCTGTTGAGTTACACGCCATGTGATTGTTTAAACGATTCCCTATAACGCCCTGTGACAACTTTAAGAGATACTCACCGTTAATAGTCTATATTCTTTATCAGTAATGTCACGATTTGTTACACAGCTTGACTAGCGTTAAAGTGTATGTGTTTGTGCTTCTCTTCCAAGTACAGTCAATAAAATATGCTTATTAGTTACGTTGAACCTGCATTGTTAGCTCCGCCTATCAATACCGTCAATTAAATATGCTCACTAATCACATTAAACCTGTACTGTTTAGCCCCGCCTTTAAAAACCATCTTTGTAATTCTTGGAATAAGGTGATGATCGGAGAAAAAGAATTACGCGTTCTACACTGCGTGCGTCATTTATTATTACAGGCTACCAATCGACAATAACATACCATGAATTCAGGTAAGATTTTACTTTACAAATTAAGGGTGCTGTTAAATCCCATGTACTAAGTCAATATTGCCCCATAAACTATATATTCAACACGTATCTCTAGTAGGTTTCTAGGACATAAAATTTTATAATCATGATTTAAATTGAAATGAAATGAAATGAAACGAAATATTGTTTAACGGCACGTCAGTATCAACCTGGATATATTTCGCCTGACATATGGTGAATGTTTCGAGATAAAGACTAAATAGAATCTCAAGATATATGTATATTTGAAAATTTAAAAATACAATATTACAGTTCAGTAAATATATAAAATCATATCACAGATCACGAGAGAGAGACAGAGAGAGAGAGAGAGAGGGGGTAACTAGATAACAAACCTCATCTCCCAACCCTCCGAACTGGCAGGCAAACCCCAACACTAATGTCATCGTGATTCAAATAAGCAAAATTGACAATTTTCTCTTCAAAACATCGATTGATTATTGTTATTGATAACATTTCGGCCGCATCCTACTACAATAAAGCAGAAAACCCCTTGTTGGTAATTCGAAGCGATTTAAATTTGACGTCTTTAACTCATAAAGGCGGGCCTCGTGTACAAAAGCCAGTCAAAGTACTAACCTGATCCGAGTTGCGCAGGGGTAATACACCGTAATTATGAATGTCTGTATTAATGTTGATAAAAAAAGGTTTAATTCACTTTATTGTCAATATTTGCTGATAAATGAATGTTGTTTCAGTAGATTGGGCTGCGTATGTGTAATAAATACTAATAGTATACATGTAACATATTTTTAACATGTTACATGCATTAATAAAGGAATTATGTTTATCAGGTGAAACTAAAAACAACCTATCTCAATGTTTTAGCTACATTCCGGTAGCTAGGGTTTAACGTTCACTCGATATAAACTACGTCATTTCGGAACTTCCGTATAGTTAAAATTCAATAATTCGCTAGCGAGTGGGGGGTCTTTAGCAGGCAACAAAGGGTCATGCGGAAAAACGACGAGGTTGGACAAGCAACCTTACTCCTTTTCATGCACAAGCGGGGATTCGAAACCACGCTAGTAGGAAGAATATAACGAAATCTGCCTGTTAAGCGTTTGTTCAAATAGCTACACTACAGTTACGGTTTGATGATTTCGCAGTTAGAGCACAGTGGCTTAGCCATCACCTATCGTAGCAACATTATAGAGAAGAACATCAAGCAATCATATTTAACGTTATGAATATATCAGTGGCCCGGTATAATAACATCTAATACATATATTAAAACAACACAGGTAGAAATCCGTTGATTTATCTTTCGTATTAAGCAATCATGTTCATAACTTCTATACTAATATTTGTTACTGTCGTTTGTCTGTCTGTCTGTCTGTCCGGGGTTGGCGGCTACACTAGGGCTGTCCCTGGCTGAAACTTGCTGTATAAGGGTAGTTCGGGTCGGAGAGTATCATAGGCTAGGTGGCGTTTGCCTACGCCTTCCGGTTTCCGAGTTACGTGCACAACCCGGGCAGCGCCGGGTCATCCGCTAGTATAAACTAATAATGAGGCATTTATTAACATGAAAAGAGCATAATCAACTCTTATGTGTTCGAATTTCATTGGATTTAAATCCGGTCTGCTGTTCAACTCCCATTGATGATTTACAGCAAAATGGATAATCGAGAGTTTGTTTATTATCGTGACAGCGGTAACAATGACAACCGAGGCTACAGTGATTGCATGGTTATATTTTTTATAAATCTTCAAGCAATCAAAGTACTGATCTATACTTAACCAAAGCAGACAATGCGCAAGATTTATCCCCTGAAATACGGGATTTGGGTAATTGTAGTTTCGCGGTACGATTGATCGAAGTGTCGAATCTATCTTTTAACACCCACTGGACAAGTCATGTCAATGGCGTTAAAAGAAAAATATAGATGTTGAAACTTAGGTCACGTTTCTTTCGTAAAGTGAACCAGAATTAACCAAACGTTTTATGTTTATCCTTCAGATGTAAGACTAGTGTTACTGGGAAAGACGGGTGCAGGCAAAAGTTCACTGGGGAATAGTTTACTTTGGAGAAAAGAGTTTAAGCCCACCCCTCTACAGATCACAAATACCTTTAAACTAGAGTGTCGTCGTGGGTCGTCTCAACTTGTGGATGGGACAAAACTAGTTATTGTTGATACACCTGGAATTGCGGATACTAAAATGTCTACCATGGCCACATTTGACGAACTTACACGGTGTATAGAGCTTTCGCATCCAGGTCCTCACGCTTTCCTGTTTGTCCTGAAGATTGATAGATTTACACAGGAAGAGATGGACACAATCAAACATCTCAAATATTGGTTCGGACAGCATGTCATGAAATACGCAATTTTCGTTTTCACCGGTAAAGATTCGCTGGATTATGCTGGTTTAGCAATTAGCGAGCATGTTCAGAACAGTCCATCTGAACTGAAAGACCTTATAGCGGAAGCAGGCGGACGTTTTACAGCAATCAACACTCGGGGTCGTGGCCCTGAACTTGAAATAGATGTTAACACCATAATGACACTAGTAAAACAAACCATACAGGTGAACAATGGTCAATATTACACCCAACAAATGTACCGCCAGGCTGTGAAGGCGAGAGAAGGACAACCAGGTCTGGTGGAAGACGCGGAATTTGAAGACATAAAGGATTTGCGATTACGGGAGCTAGCGAAACAGTACAAGAGACGTGGTGTTGAACGGGGATCAAGTATTGTAACTTGGTTTCTTCAATGCTGTGGATATCTCTGTCGGGGAGTAGGATATGTGTTAAAAACCATTTTTAGTTTTTTTGTTCAGTGCTGTGCATGGTTAGTGAGATACTTTGGGGCTTGAGCCGTAAAGTGCGAACACCGACAAATAGTGAAAATTTCACTCAATGATTCGAAATACCGGAAATGTCACAAAACAGTGACATATAATATATTTATCTTTAGTCTGTACTTATTTTCTGTAATACATTCATTCAATAACTCCAATAAAGCAATTCCTTAAAATATTCTGCTCGTCTTTTTTCTGTGCTATGGTTTTCAACATATAAACTTATTGGACTTAAATATTGGGAGCCATAGTGGCGCAGTGCGCAAGACGTTGACTCGCTAATTTGGAGATCTCGTATTCGATCCATGCGTTGGCTGAAAAAGTTCATTGGTATTTTCCGACGTTGTATCGCCATTGTCAGTGGTGTAGGATAGACGGCCTGACAAGGGACAACATATAGTCGTTCGGATGGGACAAAAAAATTTACACATTGGCGTGCACGTAAAATAACTCTTGGCAGTTGTAATTCGATATAAGAGTAGCCAAAAGCGCCACTGTCCGGTCAGAATTTCCCTCATAGCTCACTGTATGGCGTATGCCCGTCTCCTGTAATCCAATCGGTGCAGAACAGTAGAACGCTAAACTCCATTGCATTCCCTTTAGACTTAAATATCGAAAATGACACCAATGGAAGGGGTCAGAACTAAAGTTGGCTATCCCACAATTTAAAAAAAAAAATCTCAAGCAAAAATTAAAATGAATTATATACCTCTGAATGGCATGACACGAGGGGTTTCAAAATATCACTGACCTTGGTGAATTACAGAATTTCTGATCATCATTAATCTTTGAAGTCAATTTTCTCGAAAAGTGGTCAATGAGGATTAGCCCACTTTAGTTTTGACCCCTTCAATTATCAAATCCAACCTTTACAATACCAAGTTCTAAATCTTCGGATACACAAACTGAAAGTAGTATACTAATAACAATGCAATGGTCCGCTCCACATCTTAACGTGAAAATCATGAATATTCAGGAAAACCGGGAAGACAATGTAAATTCAAACACGAAAATGTCAACATACAAATCGCCATGCAGAAAGTGAGAAGTGGGAAATAAAGAGAAACACTGTTAATAACTTTCGCAGTGTAGGAATTAATTGCCATGTGTCCTATATAGAGGTCCTATATGTCTGGTTATTCGCTTTCCACGTGTTCTCCCATGTATGCTTATTGTACATTGGTACATCCTAGGTCCATGAGCCTTTTGTTTTAAAATTTCAAAAACCTAATCACTGTAACCCGGGTATCATTTAATCTTGTGTATTAAGCACTAATTTCTTTCACATTCATTCAATATCAAATCTTTGTTTAAAAATTCGTAAAAATCGTTAAAATCACCAAAATTCATCTAATTTGTCCTTGTGTCCAGTTTAAAGCTGACAATTCAGTTTTGATTGTGAGTGTTCAATTTACAAGTGTTTCATTTCTCGACTACTGTTACAAAATAAACAACCCAATTGATTATTGATGGTCAGGAAAATAAATACTTGTAAATTGGACACCCATTATCAAAATTAATCAGTCAGCTTTAAATTGGACACAAGTACAAATTAGATGATTTTGGGTGATTTTAAATGATGTTTGAGAATTTTTAAACAATGAGTTGATATTAAACGAATTTGAAAGAAATTAGTGCTAGATACACAAGATCAATTGATACGTGGGTTACAGTGTAATAATGGACACATGTGAGTTCTCTAAAATACATTTGACCAGTTTCAAACACAGCACATAGAAAATATTCATAATATTGCAATTGTACTTGTTTATTACCGTGTCATGTTAAAAAAAATATACAATATTTACATGTAGTTTATCTCACGATGCCCGTAATTGTCCAGACGAGCAAGGAACATATTTATAAAAACTTTTACATTACATTCGTGGCTAACTAGTGCAGGAATTAATCGAGTCGCGTGTCCACGTGCGTCTTTGGTAGCCAAACGAAGGGGTACAATAATTGTTTGGGTGTTGTATTTTTTTTCTCAATCCAACGGTGTATCACTACACTGTCTGCAAAACGACATCGAAATAATGCACTAAAATAATGTAGCAATGTCCTTTTTTGCTGCCGCCAATTCTTTGTTTCAAGTTCTGTGTCGAAATGGACTTCTCCCCGGATTAAATCTGATTTAATGCATCTCCATAATGATCCAGGAACACACTGTTCTTCTTAAATACGTTTAGTATCAAGCACAGAACATAATAGCCCAGCACAATAATGTAATGAACGGCTAACATCTGAAAATGCTGCATCATGTCTCCCTAAGAATTCCAATGGATCTACCGATATTTCTCCTATTATTTTCTGATACTTCGTAGACAAATAGGTATTAATGAACTGATTGGCTAAATATGCCCAAAAATGCAAAGCATTGTCCACAAAAAGGAAAATGTAAGTAAGCATTTAAAACCATATATGTATGGTTCAAAAACCGGCTTTGAATTTAGATGGCATTTTATTTGCGTTATCTGTTGATACAGATGAGGCTAGCACAAGCTAATTGGGAAAAAGAATCTTAATTTGAAAACAAATTAATCAGGTTTCAAGAAAACAACATTTAAATCTATAAATGGAAAATAATCAAATATTGTACTGATAAATATATAAACTAACTTGGAATAGACTAATGTCAAGTTTATACATGTATCTTGCCAGACAAGTATCTTTTATTAAAAATCAATTATGAATAATTAAAAATACGTCACGGAAACTAGTCGAGATAAACACTGACACCTTTATTTGTCCTTGATGGTGAAATGTTTAGTTTAGATATTCCCTGGGATTTTCCTATTCACCGAAGATTTTGCTATCGTTATTATATCACAGTAAACTATATTCCCCGAGATTGCGTGATTCTTTGAAACTGTATTCCCGGAGAGGAATATAATCACGTGTTCATGTCTACCACCAAAACAACCCCAGATTGCTATTGAAAAATAATAAACTATAAACTGGATCTTTATATAAAAAGGGTGTGGATGAAATGACTATAGATGCGTATGTAATTAGAATACATTTATATTAAGGAGACGGGACTTCCTCCATACATAATAAACATATTGAAAATAAAATCTGACAATAGCATAAAACGCGCATGAAGCGTCAATCGTCACAATGGTCATATTCAGCACCTGCTAGAGTGATACTGAGAACGTGCCCTTATCTTGTCTTGGCCGATGTTATGCAACCCTTGGGTTATTGGTCACTAGTTCTCACGCAATGTTTACCTAATAATAAGAAGCGGTTGTTAACACATAATGTCTTTAATGTCTTCAAGAGATAATAATGATGATAATAAAATATATAGTAATTATGCAATTATATTATGAAAATATGCAATTATAATAAATATGCAATTATAAGTAAAAGTAATTATATAATAATTGAATTAAATAATACATATAAATATGACATCATAATAATATGTCAGTAATAAGGTAATATGATTACAACATTTATAGAACGCTGATGTGTGATAAATTAAAGTTTGAGATGCTTTCTCATTATTAATGATGGTTATGACGTAATCACATTACTAGAGATCTGAACGTGAACTCGTAAGTTATTTGATCCTCACATTCGTTATGCACACGACAGGTTATTTTATCGATTGTGAACGGTATAACGGTATAATTATTAAACTATATAAGCACATACTTATGGAAAAACAGCTACTTATTTATTTGGGCGACGTTTCGAAGAGTATTCGCTCCACGTTATCAAGCTAATACAGTAATACAAATATTACGAGGCCAATATATTACTGTATAAGCTTGATAACGTTGAGGGAATACGTAGCTGTTTTTCCATAAGTATGTGTTATAGTTTATTGCTCTATCCAGTTACTAAATGCCTCTCAAAGATTACATGTATTGGTATAATTATTGATAATAATTAGCATACTGTTATTGTATCAATTATACCTAATACTGCTATTTACGAGTATGTTGTTTATACATTACTATTTAACTCAAAATATATTTGAAATGTATAAAAGATTAAATCAGCATAATATTTAGCTGGACATAAGATAACGATATAAATTGTAATGAGACTAAGGTAAACATCAATATAGAAAGTTAACAGTGTGGTTTTCTCAGAAATCTATTTTAAGTTTCAGTTTAATTTCTTAGAACTACACGTAGACACTTGTAATTGTCAGTGATATTTAACGTAATTGACAAGGCAGGTCGACTATATTCGTTAAACGTAACGATTTGAAACCAGCTTTGGGTGCCGCAATGAATCGACGTGTGTAATACGAATACTGTCATAGTCGACAACAACAAGAGCGTGAATAGGCCAGCTGTTAATTCCTTTTCTCTGCCACGCCCCATCGCTGTATATAGAGATTTGTATTTGAGGATATCAAGGGTGGTGAATGATAGCCGCACACAAAATTTCAATCGAATGGATCAATAGCTTCTCATTTTACGTATATTTTACTTTAGATAAGCAGTAAAGATTCCCCCCGACAACGTCATTTTGCTTTTTTTTACTATTTAGCCTCGATTATCAAGACACTCGTCATACTAGGCTATCTCGATATTACTCTGTCTCTAGTTCATAAAAATTACAATGATTTTGGTAGGGGTTCCCGATCGGTGCTTTACTACCCCCGTCATTTATTCTATTCGTGGCCTGATATTCCCTTTATTCGATAGTCGTTGGGTTAGATAGATTGGGCGACCTGTAAATCTCACAACCAGTTATTCCGATCATCCTGTATATTAGTACGACAGTCCTATAATCAAACATCTCCCTTTTTTCTTGAGATAGACAGTTGGTGACACCCGCTTCTGACAACCCGTTATTCCGAATGTCCGTTGGTGTGACCGTTCGTTATTCCAATTAAATTGTATATGAGATCACTAGGGAACTTTTTAGGATTTTAATTTTTCAGTGTATAATTTTTATATTAAGCGGGGGTGGTGACTTTTTAAGGTCTTAAATTTTGTATTTTGATTATGTTTTTGGGGGATTTTTTTTTTTTTTGTTTTTTTTTAACTGGCTGGGACATTTTTCACTATGTTTTATGTACATGTATATACATGTATATATACTGACACATAGAGAGGCTAGGGGACTGTCCAATATGTTATTCTGCATATGTAACTGACACGGGGATTGGTAGGAAACTTTACGTGGTGTCATTTCAATATTTAACTGAAA